TGTATCTGACATGCCCATGTTTTGAAAATGGAAATCAAAATCCTACCTGTATTTACAGGTGGTGACTCTGAGACACGACAAAAAATGCTTGGTTTTAAGGTGTGCAGTTTTTCAGGCTTCTGTCATGGCTATCACCACTGCCAATACCTTCACTTGCTTGCTTTGGGATGAGAGTGGGTTTGGAGAAACATTACCCAAACATTGCAAGGTCAGCATCCTGGGGAGTGATAAACTAATGTTGCATAACAGGATTTTGAATTCTTAAGCTATTTTATTATTATTGGTAACATTGCCAAGAAGTTTCTCTAGTGTACCAGTCAAAATTCTTCTGATAGGTATCAGCACAGCAGAGGGCTTTACACTTTTTGTCTGAGTCTGGCACCAGGTAGGCTTTTGTAGGTGGGCAAAAAGTCTTCTGTTTATTTAAATTTTTTAATTTTTTTATTCCAATCTTCTAAAACTTACACAGCCAATATCCAGTACAAATTTCAGCCTATATTTATCCCAAGGCATACTTTCTTAAAATTTTGATTAATTTAGGTTTTGCACATCACTGCAATTTCAGAAAAATATTTAGGTCATATGTAGTGAAGGAAGGTAGCAATTCCGGTTTGGATATACCACGAGGAAAAAGTTGAAATTTACAAAATTAGTGCAAGTTTTCTTCTCAGTTCCTTGGTTGTCTCTCCTGTTCCCATAAGGACTGGAGGAAACAGATGAAAAATCTAAGCATCACCTCTGTCACCTTTTTCATATTTGTAACTCTTAGGCAATAGTGGCATTTTAAAAATATCTGCCTGTTAGTGTCTCATAGCATTCCTCTGTGGATGCCAACAAATTCTGTAGTTATCAGCTAGATATGCAACTGATATAAAAAGAATGTGAAGGAGAGAGTGAAGTACTAAATATGAAGAGGATTGAAGATCAGGAAGGAAATCTTTCATTCAGTTAAGCTGTTTGACAGGAGTGTACTCTTTTTTACTTAAAAACAAAAACAATCAACAGCAACAAAAAAAAGAACAAAGAGATTTTTCACTAGCTCTAACCAAACAGCATAACCAAAGTGTGTACTTGTTCCTATTCTTCCCTGTAATCTTTGTGGACTTACATTAGTCAGAGTCAGCAGAGATAAACTAACACAAGTACTATAACTAGAGTCAGAGAATTAGAGACCAAACAATGTATTTGTCTCTTATTCCCTGCGTATTCCTTGCTCCAACCTTAAACTGTCCTGCAATAGCATTTATCAAGTAACCTAGAAACAGAATATTGCCTGATTTATCATGCTTAGTTGTTCTATTTCTTATTTTACAGGAACCAATATTCTAAAGCAGGTTGCCATAGATATCAAGAGAGTGACTTTTAAGTGTCAACTTTCCTTGGCTGATATTGGAAGACAACCATGTATTTTATAGACTATGTTACAGTTCACACCAGACTGAAATAGCCATTCATTTTCAAGGATAGTTATATTTCCCTCTTGTATCAAGGTAGCCAATGTCAACTACCAAAACATTTAAGTGTGGTGTTTATATGCAATAATTAGGGTATCTTCCTGTCATTTCTTTCTTCTTTTTTTTTTTCTTTAAATAGGAATAAATATTCTTGTAATCACTTCCTGCAAATTTGGAGTGTAACAATACAGAGATTTAGAACTACATAAAAAAACAATCCACAGTGGAAATGTAAAGTTTGTGTTAGCTGGAGTCCTCATAGTGCATCTTGAGTCCATATGGCTTCTCTACAAACCCCCAAGAAAATCTTGACGTCTTTAACAGGTATTTTCAATAAATCTGATTCAATAATGTGTGGGTGTTTCTATGTCTCGGAAATTTGCTGGTGTAAAGACATCTAATATGCTAGTGCTCTGAAACAAAATATCACATAGATTGTGTAAGAACAGTTTCTTATGCTTACTACAAAGAGAATCTCATTTCAAAAAGAAGTCAAAAGGAGAACACAGAATAGAGAAACTGTGCTTGGGAAGTTAATGATATGAGATGAGTACTGCCAGGCTTCCACTAGATCTATCATTAATGATTTTTTTATAAGGAAAAAATCAAGCCTTTGCTGGTTTTCCTTACAAAATGAATGCATCTGAATTAAAGTAGTATGTGATGAATCTGGGATGGAGTTATGTTGTTATTAACATTCTAGTAGAAAAAGCAAGGTTCTTATTAGAATAGGATGTACTGCATGACACGTCAAAATCAAAATCATTGCTAAAACACTTGTAGAAGCATATGAGAATTTAAATTCATCTATTAAAGCAAGATGTAATTCAGTCATTAAAATAAAACCTGACCATTATTACGGCCCTCTCAAGAGTTAAATGCCAACTGTGGAAGGCCCTCATCTTCCAGCAGCATCTGGCTGCTTGGCAGGGTCTGTAGGCGGCTGTGTTGGCAGGACGAGAGTGGATCTTGGGACCATCACGTGGAAAAACTGCTGAGGGCTGTGCTGCCTCGTTGACCTGAATGTCATTTTCATTTGATTCATTTCTGCTTGTGCAATTGTATTTGCCTATGAAAAGGTTTCTAGATAAGATTAGAGCAGTAATGTTAAATATTCTCATCTCACATCATTGCTATACTTATCTTTTGTTCATTCTGCACATTTTTCTTCTTACCTTTTTGCCTTCATTTCACTACCAATCAGTTCTGAATGTCAGTATTTCTTGCACTGGCACTTCTATTAATACATGACTACTCCTTTTTCATCTTTTAGACTTTCTTTCTCTATTCTCTTTCCTGTGGGTCAGCTTCAGTAAATAAATATGAAGAGTTTTTCAGAAAAGAAAATCTAAATATGTTTGATTTTGTTGTTCTATTTTTTATTTTTTCTTTCTTTTTTTTCTCTTAATCTACTTCCTAAACAGATTTTGTTGTGTTCTCAGGTCAATCTGGGGCCCAAATAATTCAAACATGGATATCTGAATATATTTAAATATTTCTTTTAAAATATTTCCATTAAACTAGGCATGAAATTTGCACTGAAGACGAGAAGAAATTTCCATATATGGCATACTTTTAATTATGCTGAGATGAAAGCATCTATTCTCCTACCCACTCCAATATTCTCTTTCCAGCACGTTAGTAAAGATTTGTTATTCCCATTCTCCTGGAACAAGGGTTCCAGGGGAGGACTAAGGTACCTTCAAGGACCACGTCCCTTACATGACAGGGCGTTTTATAAAGCTCAGAAACATCAAAGAGACCTAGACAGCAGTAAGTTACTTCACTACCAAAGTCCAAAATTCATACCTGCTTTCCTGAGGGCACACACTTTCCTATGTGCCTGCATTTTTTATTTAAGATTAAGACCTCTGCCTCTAAGTTAGAGGTGAAAGAATTCTGCTTTATTTGGGGCTAAGTTTAACAACATGAACTTAATTTATTAGTAACAATGGTCAGGATCCTTACCCTTAGCTCTTCATATCTAAATTGCAAGGGCACATTAGCTCTGTGTCTCTCTTCCACAGAGGTGTGCAGAAGCAGACAGAGAATGAAGGAAGCTCTGCTGCCCAGCTTCCAGGACAGGGGACAACACAGAATAGTGTCTGGATGCACACTGGATGAACAAAGGAAGGAGGACATCCTTTCCTCCCCACTGCTGTCTGCCATGATGTGAAAATATCAAACCTTGAGAAAGAAAATTACATAAAAGGAGAGAAATAGGAAAAAAAATTCCCTAATTAACACTGCATTTTGTATGTAGAATCATCCACTCTCACCCCTCTTTTCCAAAATCCTTCCCCTTCATTTCAGAACCCATTATGTTAACAAGCTGATTCCTCAGTGGCATTTATGAAGTAAGGCAGAGACTTTCAATACTGCCTAAAGGATTAGTTAACAGAAGTCAAGCATGTAATTCTCCTTTGAAAATTCGATCCTTACACTTTGCCCTCTAAGAGTTTACAAATCCCAAGAAGATCATGTTTAAGATTCAGAATCACTTCATTATGAAAACTATCCTATTTCATTACAAGACCCTGCTGATTTGTAAGCAAACTTTGAAACTCTTTTACCCAAATTAAAGGCATTACTTCCCTAAATTCATCCATTCTGTGGCATCTTTACTTCTACAGAGAGATGTGATTTTTGCACACTTGATGAAAACACAGCTTTCACCAGTTTAGAAGGCAGATCAGCGTGTTAATGTGTTAGGGGTCATTCAGCATGTCACTCCCTCAGCAAAGTTCGTTAAGTACAGGAACTGAAATAATGAATCACTTCATCAGAGTAGTCCATCACTGCTGACAATATTTATCTTTCCAGTATTTCCACTTTCTTTGGAGCAATCTGAAAATGTTTTTAATATGAGCAGCCTATCTCAAGAGATTTTTATAAGTAAGAAGTAATATGCAGGTATAATAAACCTATTAGTAAATAAATTCATAGTACATGCATTTCAGAACATACATTTTCTTACATTACAAGAAATGCTGCCTTAAATCTTGAAATTAGAATGAGTTCTAAAATCTAGACATTGTTCACAGCTATCATTTTCAGTAGACTTGCTTACATTAAAAAATGTATTTGTAAATTGAAGCAAAAATAAGACTCTTCAAGAAATTATGAATATGTCATTGTGGTATTTGACTATGTGGTATCACAGAGCATTTTGAATTTAATGTATTGGAAGCAAAGGATTGTGAGGCCCCTAGTTCCCTAGGTCCTCCTTGCCATTTTGAAGGTTGAGATAATGTTTGCTTTCTTCCAATCCTCAGCTACCCCTCCTGACTACTGTGAGCTTTCAAAGATGATTGAGAATGATCTAGCAACGATGTCCATAAGTTCCCTCAACACTTTTGGGTGCATCCCATCAGGCACCATGGACTTCTAGATGGCAGGTTGGATTAAATGATCTCTAACCCATCATCCCCAACCAAGGGAATAGGAGCCAATTAGGTTTGTGGACAGCATTAATTCAGGAATTTTCTTACTGCTGATTGATCATTTAAGATCCCCTATATTCATATAAATATCCTGTATGACCCTGAGATGAGCTCAGTTGGGCAGAGTATGGTGCTAATAACACCATGGTTGAAGGTTTGATTCCTGTACGTGCCATTCACTTAAGAGTTGATCCTTCAGTCCCTTCCAACTCAGAAAGGACTGTGATTCTGTAGTATAACAGTGTTTTTAATTTAAATATTTACCTTTTCCCCTGAAAATTTGATAAATAAAATAATTGTTTGCAAAAAGGCTGAGGTATGAGCAGATTATGGATCATTTCTAAGAACTGCATTTCCTCATACTGAATGTTTCATATCTTTATAATTTGAAATAACCTGAAAGTCCTCCAAAGATGTAAAAGCAGCCTCCTCAGCCAGAACCAGTATACCAACTCACATCACTGAATGCTATATTTTTAACTCTGAGCTTAATTCATAGGTTAGCCCTAAAACTTTAATTGCAATATTATGTGAGTTTTCTGGCTTTATTGTAGATTTCTTAAAGGGATGTTGTGCTAATAAACCAAACACTTTCAGCTGTAAGATTTAAGACAAAACAAATTGTATTTTAGCCTGGGGTATTATGCTGAACTACTGTGATAATACAACAAACTTCATATTGTGGGTAAAAATAACCATAAATCATGGCTTAAAAACTAATGCAAGATCAGTAAAATCTTTTCAAAGGTCATTCTTCATCCAAAGCCTTGTTATTTTCATACATGGAGCTAGGTCAACATATCATGAATATCAAGTTGATTAACAAACCCTGAATCTAAATTAATGAGAGAATCAGCCAGCTAGCCTATTTCTCTGCTTTTAAGCATTAATAACCTGCATTGAGACATTTTGCAGAAATAAGCCTGCTTGCATGCTTTCATGACCCCCAGTGCTATCAGGAGGAAAGAACCAACCTAATGAATCCTTGGAGCTTTGCCTGCACACATATGCACACACTTGGTATGACTTTTATTAAAGGAACCACACAAATTTTGGAAGATTTTGAATTTGAACATTCTCCCTAGAAAATCTCAATCCAGCTCCATGTGACAACACTTCAGGGGATAACCCTGTGATTTAGTTGGTAAAGTCTCATTTGCCATTCACTCCTTAGGAAACACTTACTGTCCTCATCACATCCCTCATCCTAATCCAAGTCAAAACATTGTGAGCACATTTTTCTTTCACTGTTGAACATGGCCTATAAAACCTGCAATAAGGAAAAAAAGAATAATTTAGATCATGCAGAAGTTGAATTAATTATATATTTGAATTCTAAAAACAAGGAAACACACATGCACTGATCCAAGTTCTGATCCCTGAAATAGGAGTAGGTATATCTATATTTATACTCTTTAGTCCTACTCTAATAGATACTGAAAGTGTGTACTTCTGAGACATCCCAAGGATGATAACAATTCATAAATGAGGTGTTCTGTTATATCCTGATCCAAACTTTCTATTAAGAAACCATGGAAGAATGAAGATGATCCTTATTTATTACTTGTTGCATATATTTATAGAGAAACTCCTTATCATGCCATAATTTCATATTAATTAAACAAGAGTAAAAAAACCTTAAAAGTTAATCAAGAAGTATTCACTTGCAATAACCCTCAAATATTTTTAAGTGCCAAACATTAGGCAATTTCTTTCCAGATGACATTTTAAACTAATGAGTATCAAAATGTCATGCTATCCTCAGAAATGTGAGGTATCTTCAGTTAGCCAGTCAGAAAATTATTATGTCAGTTTGAATGACCTGTTTCTGTGGAAAATGAAAGAATTATCCACCAAGCAGAAACAGCAAATCCCCAGCAACTAGATTTCACACCTTTTTGATTTAACAGTGTGCAGCTTGTATTCTTTTGACTGGAATATCTGTCTTACTAGCAAATTTTATGTGAATACTTCAATAAGCTAAAGTTTTTAATATATGTAATATTTACAGAATATTTTAGGTACTATCCTCATCAACTTTATATAACTTTCTATTTATATAGATAAACTTAATATTTATATAAGTAAAATATAGTTAATATATTAGAAAGTTGTGTTAATGCTATTCCACACTTGGAAATATAAAAGATCTTCTTCAGCTTTGTCTTACCATTAAGTTACAAGTTGCTGATAATATAAATTCTTCTTCTTTTTTTCTTTTTTTAAATGTTCTAGAGAACTCTGAATATCTGAATATACAACTTGGATTTCTTCTCTTACCTTCTGTGAAATCAAATGTGAAAACTAGCTATTACAATATAGAAGTATCTTTACAAAGCACTTCTCAGATTCTACGACACCAGCTCTAAAAAGAATTTATTTCCCATGAGGATAGACCTTGACTATTATAAGTAGAATTTATTGCTGGTCTCCTCTACCTTTTGATAATCATTAATGACAGCTTCAGACAGAAAAGGGCAGATATAGTAAAAAGGTGAATATTATGGCTTTTAAAACTGCTGTTGCTAGAGGCTACATTTTCTTTCATAAAAACCTCTGCAAATATAAAACTCAATGTTTCCAATGGCTGTATTCTTTTCCATATCCAGTTATAAAGTCATCAGCATAGTATTCTAGACAAACAAAATTGCAAACATTTCTTCAATACTTAAATAATTAAACCCTAACTCTTTCTACTATTTTAAAAAAACCTTTACAAAACTGCTTTTATAGTGCAGTGCCAGTATGAGCTTATTAATTTCTTGCTAATACTTCTGATCACCAAGATACAGAACTACCAAGAAAAATGTGGATATAAATGTACAGGTTCCACTTTTGATTACTCCAGCAAGTACTTCAAGGAATTAATTTTTCGCATTGTGTTCAAGCTGTTGCATTGAAGTTTTTGAAGAGAGTAACTGGGGTAGACCAATTAAGGGAATAAAGCTTTAATTTTCAACACCAGTAAATTCCATTAAGCAAAAGAGTAGCTTTGCTTAGTGATTCACTGACTGCCTAAATATGTAAGAAAGGATTTTATGGTAATATTAAGATCCAAAGAAAAGAACATTTTTGAAGGTTAGGCTGAAATAGAGTTTTGACAGACAAGAAACTGTACAACAGATGAAGCTGTATTATTTACTTATTTATACACATTGAATGGCAACCTCGTGTACTGAAAAATTGCAAAAAGAGTGGTGTGGTGTGGTTTGGTTTGGTTTGTTGGTGGTATTGGGGAGGTAGCCCCTAATTAGGAAATTCCAATATTTAATGTAGCCAGAGTGCACGCTTGAAGAGCATATGAATAAAACTGTAGGCCATGCCAAGCAATAAAAGCAGATCTCTGCTTTTTCCACATCAGATACACACGTGGTGAATTTCCTTTATCCTGTTAGTCTGCTCAACACATTAAATTTGCCTGGAAATCTCAAGATTTTGGCGTAGTAGGGACTGGAAATTATTAACTTGAGTAGGAGGTTTACTACAGGATATATTGTATTTGCTTGAAAGTTGCATGAAAACCCCTCTCACAAGCAGAGCCACACATGCTAGTTATAAGTGTCACAAGAGAGCAATATGAAAAAATTTAGTTCACAATTCAGGCAACTTCATGTCCCTGCTGAAGACTCCAGTCTGTCTCAGAAAATGTCATCCCTGACTCACAGCTGTAAAGATCTCTCAAAGCAGAGAGTTGTTGATAGTTCAGTCCCCAGAGGGCACAAGGAAGCAGTGTAATTGTGTCACTAATTCAGTCCTCTCCTCTAGGGCAAGCAGAGAACAAATATGAAGGAGGAAAGCTTGGTTTGGGTACTCAGGCACTGGATTGAAACTGCTCTGAGCTGGAGAATGAAAACTGACTCCACATATTTTGCTATAGAACATACAATCTTGTAGCAGAATGCTCTTCCAATAAATAATGCTCTTATGCTTTTTGGGAAGAATTCAAGATAGAATACTGGCAGTTTGTAAGCAATATAAATTACTCATTACTGTAAGAGACAAGTTTTACTTTCACTTTGCTAACTTAAATCTGTTGTGTTCTTGATTAAGAAACTTAACCTTATAACACCATGGTAAGATGTTCCAAACAAGAAATTATCTAGCACCTGACTGTTTAAAGTTTTTGGTAGATTTACCACAACCATGAAATTTAAGCCACTTAGGTATATACGGAATTCCCACTTGTCTAAATTAAAAGGACTTGCCTGTATCTTTCTCTCCATCTGTGAAATTAGGAATTAGTCAGCTCTCTACCCATTTCATATAAACTGTGCAGAGTTGGAAAGAACAAAAATTGATACAGCAGGAGTTCCAGCTTACACTATCATTTTTTGCTAACACCAGTACCACAACATTTAAGTTCAAATAATGTGTGATATTATCCACATTTTATTTATGTGCATATTTATTTATTATAATTAAGGGTTGTGACTACATGATCTCAGTCTCTTTGGCTCAGAGTCAGCCTTAGAAATACCTAGATAGATACAGTCCAAGACACTAATTCAAAAGAAATTCATAGGCAAACAATTTATCATGAACATTTAAATGAAGAAATCTCCCTGCTTTTATTCAATCAATCTTTTGGAGGGGATTTGTGAATTCAGCCAGCAGATCCATAACATTCAGGGTAACTCCTCTGGGAGGACTCATCCAGCCCTATATTAATGTATACTGCTTTATCAATTACCCATGAGCATTCCTTTTAAAGTCTTACTCCACAAAATACACGAGAATTTCACCTCTGCATCTCTACAATTTTGTTCAAATTAGTTATTAATTATACATGCATATTTACAGCTTCACTTCCTCCAAGCTTAACTGTATTTAGATGCTTCTACTACTCCTCCATACTAGAGAGTCTAAAACCAGCTGGAATTACACAATATTACAAAAAGTGAAGGAAGCAGGGTGAGAAATTCAGGAAGGCCTCAGAACAAGCATTTGTTTAGTGCTGCAATATAATATGCATTAGACAAAGCCGAGATAAAATTGCTACAGAAATAAGCTGTTTCTAAAAATTTATTACTTTGGCACGGTAGCAGAGTGTGATTGCGTTTGGTACAGAACTGGAAGCCTGGTTTTGATTGCCTGGTGAGTGTTCCCACCCGTAGCTGTGACCAGCACAACCCTCCTCAGTCCCATGCTCCAAGGAAGAGAAAGTGACCGTGTCCC